AACCACGTCCACGGTGCGAGTCTAATTGATAGTGACAGCTGTCTATGCCGCGGCTTACTTTCAATTACACTGGAAGAGACAGAGCCCATCATGCCCACTAGTGAGCGTCAGCGCGAGCTGGCGTGTGTTGTGTGCGTGGTGGGTGGTGTGCGTATGCTAGAAAGGGAAGGGGGGGGGGCTGCCTCTCCGACGGGCCCTCGGTCTATCAAGAACAAGAACACGAGAGTGATTGGCGTGAGCAAGAGATACATCAGAACCGGCTGGCCCCGAGTCGGCTCGCCCGGCTCGCGCGGCTCATAGATACATGCACCGTTGTTGGCGCCAGCCGTGCCGGCCGCGCCCGCGCACACCGCCAAAAGCCGTGGAGAACTATTCGCTATTTCGGAATGGCCCGCGGGCCGAGGGGACCGGAGGGGACCGGCCGCCGAGACGCGGCCGAGGCGGGGCGGGCAGCGCACAGCAACCAAAGAGAACAAAACAATTTACACAGCTTTTCCCTCGTTTCCATTTCTATTTTGTTTTAGTTAAAAGTGGATGCACGTAGGTTGTTGCCAAAACCTTCAAAACAAACGGCATTTATTTTAAATCGATTTTTTCTGTTTCTTGTGAGGAGGAAAAAGGGGGATTTTCGTCAGCGTGCACCTAATTTTGTGCGTACTTGTTGCCCCGGCGTACACTTCAGCAGCCCGAAGAGGAGAGGAAAGCGATATCTTGCGAAAGATAAACACGGATTATCTGTCGGTACTCGTCCGCACTGCTGCTGCTGCCGTCGCTTCCGCCGGCGGCCACGCGGCAGCGGGTGGCGCTAACGCGCTAACACAACAGCGCAATCTTCTGGCAGCGAAGCGGCGGAGCGGCGCACCACCCGGCCGGCTTAAGCCCCACTCGGTGACAGGCCGGCGGGCGGTGGATGCCCGGCCATCCGCGATCCGCGACGCCTGCTGCGATACGGGCTGGCGCCGCGCCAAGGTGCGAGGGGCGGGGCACGGTGGGCCAAGACCGGTGGAGGCGGCCAAAACTCAAGACGCGTTTTGAGCTCCAGAGTCGCTGAACAGGGCTCGAACCGTACGTGTGACCCTACCAATGGATTCCTCGTTCGGAGAGCAATCCATTGGTGGGGTCACACGTTCGGTTCGAGTCCCATTTAGCGACTCTGGAGCTCAAAACGTGACCAGAGTTTTGGCCGCATCCACCGGTCTTCTGGCCCACTGTGCGGGGCGGGGCGGGGCGGCTAGCACCTCCGCGATGTTTTGTCTCGGCCTCGTGCGACTCGCGTCCCGGCCCGCCGAGGGGTTAATGGGACTCGCTGCCAGCAGCACAGCACGACGGTAAATGTTCATCGCCCCCTGAAACCGACGCTGGATCCGCCCTGGACGCACGGCCGGCACGGCCCCTAGGACCGCAGTATCGGGTAATTCAATTTTCCCGTCCGCGAACAAAAGGGGCGGCAGGCTGACTCCGCACCGCGTGACGTCGCCCTGTCTCTCTCGCTCCCCCGGGGGACGCGCCGCGAGCGCGAGAGAGACAGAGCGACGCTGTTGCGTAGACAGCTTTGCGCGCTCCTCGAGAAGTCGCCCCGGGCCATTTAAAAGGCCAGAGCGTTTCCTCGCTGACCCGGGCAGTCCCCGGGCCGCACGCCGCTCCTCAAACGCAAGAGAAAGTCTGAGGAAACGCTTGGAAAACGTTCGCGAAACGCTCGGGAAACGTTCGGAAAACGCTCGAGACAAGATCGGGGACGGTCGGGAAAGTGCGCGGCTGGCGCAGCTCGGTGCGAATGTCAGCCCAGCCCGGTCCAGCCCACTGCGATGCGGGTCAACCTGGCTTGAATGCGCTCAAAGTCGGGCAGTGCAGCGCGGAGGACAGCAAGGCACGCGAACGCCGTGGAGGTAGGCCGTCCCGCCGAGCAGGGCTGCACCCGGGTTGCCTACCCCGCCTCCGTAAGGCGCCATGCCACGCCATGCCACGCCACGCCATGCCACGCCATGCCACGCCAAGCCACGCCATGCCACGCCATGCCACGCCATGCCACGCCGAGCCACGCCATGCCACGCCATGCCACGCCATGCCACGCCATGCCACGCCATGCCACGCCATGCCACGCCATGCCACGCCATGCCACGCCATGCCACGCCATGCCACGCCATGCCACGCCATGCCACGCCATGCCACGCCATGCCACGCCATGCCACGCCATGCACGGCCTACCGCCACGGCGCTAGCTCCAGCAGACTCACTCCGAGAGTCGTTTCCGTCGCCCTGTCTCTCTCGCACTTACGTCCTGTATAGGTGCGAGACGAAAACGACTCTCGTAACCAGAGTCCTGCAAAAGGCTCGCGGTCGGACACTAATGTGGTGCGTTTTCCAAAGCACAGCCAGGGCGAGCCAAGGGGTGGCAATGGTCGAGCTTGGCCACTGGAGTGTGACGCAATACTCGAACGGCACGGCCCCTCGCAACCCCCGAGGCAAATCGACGCAAAGCGTATCGGAGAGCCCCTCGCTGCCCCTCGACGCCCTCCGACGCAAGCGCGCACACCGAATCGTCGCTCTCTCTCGCACTCGTGGGGTGTCCCTACTTGTGCGAGAGAGACGGAGAGGCGAAAAAGACTCTCGGAATCAGTCTGCTCTGGCTGGGCCCGGCTCCCCCAAGCCCTCAAGCAGGCGGCCGCCACAGAGCCCCCGCACCGGCCGCACCGGGGGTTGTAGTGCAGGGACTCCGAGGGCCTCGCCACGCCATTCCCAAGGGGATTTGCCCTTCATCGACCTGCCCGGCAGTCCTGGTCGTCCTGGTCGTCTGGCCGGCGGAGGAGTCCAGGACAGACGCCACACCAAGTGCGCGCGGTCGACGCGGACCTGGGCCCGCAGGCAACCCGCAGGCAACCCGCAGGCTAGCCGGGGAGCTTCGGGCCGATGCTCCATCTCCCTCGCACTCACGGGGCGGTCCCGGCAGGGAAGGGTGCGAGAGAGACAGCGACCAAAGCAGTGCTCGGCATCAGCCTGGAGTGCCCGGGGCTGGCCTCGGGGCTGGCACTTCAAACGGATATCGTCCTGGAACGCAATCAACTCGGAGCGTCTGCGCGCCGTAAACGGATTGCAGCCGGATTGCAGTTCGTATCGGCGTATTGGCGTTGGCGGCGAGCCCAGCCAAGCCCGCCGGGCACCGTCTCATGTGCCGTAACACATCGCCAGATTGCAGTTCAGCGTCCTGTATCCGCTGGGGGATGGGACCATGGCACGCCGCACAGTGGGTCAGAAGACCCGCGCAAGCGGCCAAAACTCTAGAGCTCCAGAGTCGCTAAATGGGATTCGAACCGAACGTGTGACGACCCCACCGATGGATTGCTCTCCGAACAGGGAATCCATTGGTAGGGTCACACGCTCGGTTCGAGGCCTGTTTAGCGACTCTCGAGCTCAAAACGCGTCTTGAGTTTTGACCGCCTTCGGCTCGGCGGTCTTCTGGCCCACTGTGTCCCGACCAGCACCGGCCACACCACATGCCACCACACTGCACCAAAATCCGACAACCGCCGCCACGCCAGCTGCGTCTCGCCAGCCGAGCGATCCGGGGGAGTCGTTTTCTCTCTCTCTCTCTCTCTCTCTCTCTCTCTCTCTCTCTCTCTCTCTCTCTCTCTCTCTCTCTCTCTCTCTCTCTCTCGCACTCGCACTCGTGGGGCTCACCAACAGGGAGGCAGGGCGACGAACCGCATCTGAATCGCTCCACTGGAAGGCCTCGCAGGGAAGCGGGCACGCCCGGCAAGCAAGGACGAGGGGTCACCCTAGACAGCCGCCTGAAAGGTATCGGCAACCAGCAACACTTTGCCGCTGTCAGTGGGCAGAAAGTGCTACTCTCTGGATCCGCCACGTCGCGGAGCACGCTTTCCCTCGGTTTGGTCGTTCCAGGGCGACGCGGGCCCGCGCGGGCCGCAGCCTCGGCCGCCGCCGGATGGAGCGCGCGGAGACGAGACGAGTCGAGTTATTGGTGACCCCGCCGACCGCCGCGGAGCCATGCCGCATGCCGCTGGACGGGTATCCCATCCCACAGTCGCTCTGTCTCTCTCGCACCCCACCGCACGCGCCCCACGAGTGCGAGAGAGACAGAGCGGCGCCCTGCAGGACCAGCCTCGACCGGACTTCCCTTCAAGAGGACACGCAGCGTGGTGTCGCAAAGGCGGCCCGGCCACACTTTCCCACACTCACACATTTACACTCTCGTCTCTGTCTCTCTCTGTTTCTCACTCACTCGCGTCAGTGTATCGGCAGGAATTCCCCGGGGCGGGAAACGCCCGCACTCCGCACCGCGAGTGGGTGCCAAAGTGCGGCGGGTACTCGATGCGCGGTCCCCGCGGCCGCCGTCCCCGCCGTCGGCTCGAGTGCGAGAGAGAGCGCGCCAATTAGCACGGCGCCCACAGTTCGAACCAGCACCACGCGCGCCGCAGCGGCGGGCGAAAAATTTTAAACTGACGAGAAATTAAATTGAGTGGCGGGCGCTGCAGCTTGCGCACCGCGGCAGCGTGTGAAGTCCACATTCATCGCGTCGACGAAAAAGCGGCGCCGCGTTTTGAGGCGATCGCGACGCTGGCGCTGCAGCGCTGCAAAGTTGCCAGGATTGACGGACGACAACAAACGCGTATTTGGCGACCACTGCGTCGACCGCCCCGCGCGGCAATGGTCATCGGCTGGACCGTCCCACCGCGGAGCCGCGGAGAAGCCAGGGACCGTAACAGGTAACGACGGCACTCGCGCGAGCGCCGCCGTCTCGGCACATCACTGTGCACAGGTGACACGCCGATCGGAAATCGCTGTCAATCAATTGCCCACAACACCGAGGAGGTTAGAATTCACGGGTACCGATTTTCAATTTAGTTTACACTGCCGACACGACGGGCGGGGACTGGTTTGACGCGTCCCGTACGACAGTTCGGAGTGCGACGTACCTCACTGACACGCCACACAACCTCAAACGTCACCTAATGTGATACACATTCAAAAGAAAGGGGACTCACCAAATGAAGTCTTTGCAGTGGCTGCAGAAGGTCGGTTGTTTGAAGAAGCGTGGAATGAACTTGTGATCCTTCACGTTGTACACATTTTTCTTTTTGAGAGCACCTTTTCGGCCACGTAGTCGCAGGCCGAATTTTGTGTTCATATCCCCTGCGCCGGGGGCATCATCTTGAACATTTTCGTCGTCCGCCATCCCTGCGAACAGCGCACAGTTGACAGCTCTGAAAGCAGAGAGCTCGCCTGCAGCACTGCCGTGTACAACGGCACTGGACTCTCAATAACAAACCAAGTTCAAAATAGAAATTCAGCCAAGGCAGTATCTTCTGCTAGTCTTCTTTTCTTCTTCTACCCGAATGCGGCCTGCGAGATGAGACTCCAACTCAGCCAGGGTTTCTGAATCGTTTTCTGACCGTTTCCAACCACAATGCTACGCTTGCGGTTTTGGAGGGTTAAAATTTGTCTACTGGGAAGCATCTGTCTTCTTTTCCCCTAACCGCATTTTAGACATCAACTAGACAGAGAGAAGCCGCTGTTCGTGCCAGCGATGGCGGTTCCGAAGACGGCCGCGAGGTGGCAGCACCGTGCAGGCGCGGCAACGTCAGCACAACGAAGGCCGACCCCCCACGCCCATCCTTCCCGACTCGCGTCGCGGGCGAGCGTGAGCAAAGCGAAGCCTCGCCTCGCCTCAGTTGGAACGGGCGAAATGGCTCTTGTGGTCGTGGAATTTTCTCCCGTCGAAGTGATTTGCTTTTGGGAATCATCAGTTACCGTACCCTCTCGTGTAAAGCGAAGGTGAGTTCCTTTGAATATTTGGAGCAGTTTGGTGTAGCTCTTGCCTCATCTTTGGTTCGTAGTTGCAAGGAAATTGTGAAAATATGAGGGGCTGGTGGCGCGGGCGCAAGTAGGCGAGCCCGTCCAGAGCCCGTCGGTCTGGGTGTCATGGCGGACGAAGACAACGTTCCGTTTTCGTATTAGCCACAATAAAGCGTTGTACGGAATTTGCTACAACTATTGCGTGCTTCGGAAAGTTCGCTCTGGCAGCGCGGAATTCATTTATGCTTGGACTTGAGTGTAGAACGCTGTCATTTTGGTTTTACTGAGAATTTGAAAAATCTCTTTGTCATAATCGGCCTCTGTTGCTAAGGGACCTCTATTTAATATAGTATTACGTTTATAGGACGTTCACAAGTTGTGTCGACCGAGAACTTCCGAATCATAGTCCGCCCTTATTTTATTGGTGGGTTATAATTCATCATTTCCTCTGTCCTGTTGGAGTTTGCTGCATTTATTAGGATTTAAAGGACATGCTGTGGAATTTTAAGCTCTCAGTTATTTTGTCTTGAGCAATTTGTTCACTTCAGTTTTTTATCTTTTTAGATTATTTTATTCCAGTAATATCTACACCCTCATACTTCTATTTTTTAATTTTGGTTTTTTTTTCAATCTTTAAATTTTACCTGTTGAAAATAAATTATTTTTCTCTGAAGTTTTTATGTTTTAAGTCAACGAGTGTTAAATAATTTCTCTTTCTCTTGTTTCAGATCTTGCAATCGTTGAGTGGTCCGCCGTGTTTCGAAACTTTCGTGAAGTAATGTTAGAAGAAAATCCGAAGATGTTGTGTGAAGTGGGTCCTGTGCGCACAACGTGGGAATCAAGGGAGAGGAGAAAACGTCATCGTCGAGGGAAGAAGCGGCTCGTAGGCAGAACTGCGGCGGTGCACCCGCCTGACCTGCATTTGAGTAAGTCTGGCGGGGAAAGGGGAACTGATGAGGACTCATTTGAGTCGGGGTCGGAGATGAGTGTTTTGGGGTCTCTTACCCCTAAACATGTAGGCAACCAGCGTCCCCCTCAGCCGTCATTACGACCTATCATCGTCCCAAAGGCTCCTGAGAACTCTACACAGTTCTTGATCGACGATCACGAAGATTCCACCCAGTTCCTTAATTTTGAGGACAGTTACAAATCCCCTGCGTGGTGTGGGCCTATGGATGACCCAGATGCGTATTTCCCCACTGATTGTGATGAAGATAAAGATGCGTTCAGTCATATGTATTATATGCGTGATTTTGAGTCAGAGTACCAAAGTGCACGGGAAGAAGTCTTGCTAGATTGGTCAAGAGAAATGCTTTTTGAAGAAATACAAAAACTGGAGCAAAAAGCCCAATCACTCGAAGAGCTTCTGAACATGCGCGACCCGTACAAGTACCTCTCAAGTCTTCAGGAGAAACTGATTCGCCTCCAAGAAGAAAATAGACGCTTGCAAGCAGCTCTGCAATCTGACAGGAGCAGCAGCAGCAATCCAACATCTGATGAAGACGTGAGCCCCTGCCAACGGCAACGTGCAGATACTGCATCCGACTTGGTGATGGTAGTGGCCCCATTGTCCCTTCAAGATGGATCTCTCAAGAGCGATTCTGTCCACACTAGTCAGTCTTTGATTGACTCTCACCATCGTCCAGTGGCAGAGGTGGAATCTTAACTGTCAAAGCTTTCCATTTCAGATTTCAGTGATAGGGTTTGTGAGTATATTTTATTTACAAAATTGTCAAGTTTCTTTCAACCCTAACATATTTGACTGCAATGTGATATTCATTCTGTTACTCTGCAATGAACAACAAAATAAAAGATGACGCTTATTATCTATATGACTGTACATTGTATATAGCGGTACCCAAATGAATGCAATTGGTCTCATTGTTGGAACTTTGGTGTGGCTCACAGTCATTCAATGATTTTTTACCAATTACACCTGTGATTCTTCTTAGTTTTCCTCTTTTGTCAAATGAGTGGACATATTTAGGCTAGCTTACTGTATTTTCGGTGTACATAATTATTATATAAGCGAAAATTGGATATTTTGTTCAAGTGCACATAAAATTAGCTTCTGTTGGAATACCCAAATACTGCTGTGTCCTTTGCTTGATAATGATGTGCCCAGGCAAAATGATTATCTTTTTGAGGTATCTTTAGCTTATCTGCTGGTAATGAGGAGGTTCAGAAACTCATGTACGGAAATGTTTTGTCATGATATGTTACCTTTATTTCTTTTTCATACTACTGTCTGTATTTCATTGTTTTCTATACTGTTGTTTCTCTAAATTGATAATTAGTGTAGACATGTCACACATTGGTCTATTCTGATTTTTTTTTTTTTTTTTGAAATGTTTAAATTGATTATGTTGTCTCAGAATGAAAGAAATTATCCAGCCAAAATCACTTTCCTTTCAGTATTGACAATAAATGTAAGATTGGCCATAATTGTGTAAGTCAGTTTACATATTACATTTAAATGTGAAGAGACTGATCATTTTAAATTATTTATTTATTTTTCAAAACAAAAGAAACAAAAAAAAAATATCATTTGAAAGTATGTACCTGTGGAACAGTGATGACCTCTGATTGATTTGTTGGCAAAATTCTCATTGTTCTTGAATAATTATTTTGAGAAGTCCAAATTATGAGTGGCTGTTAAGTCTCTGTGGGTTTAGCAGCATTTGCATTTAGAATTTTATCATTCTGCTGACGGGATCTCCTGATACAGTTGTTCTTTTCCTTATTATTTGATCTGCATCTCGATTTGTGTCCTTAGGGTAGCGTTTGTTTATCCCGTAGTATTTTAAGTGAAAAGGAAGGTTGGTGGTCTGTGATGCAGTAGTCTTAGTTTTAGTCCTTACCATGTTACTCCTACAACTAACTCGGCCTTTACTTTGATCTTGCTGTTGCTTCACCCTTTATTGAGTGTTCTCTTCATTTTTTGACTGGATTTTTTACACATGCTTGTATGGCTTCGATTGTGGAGCTGAACTATGCAATCCTGGTGAATTAAATTATGTTCATTGTGTTATTTATTTTGTTTACTTTTGCCCACTGTGTGTTGTAAAAACAGTATCAAAGAATAGGTTTGAAAACCCAGTGGATTTCTACTTCACTTTTGCACCTTGTCTTTTTTTCATTAATTTTTTTTGCGTTTTTCGAAGCATAGAAATGAATTTGGAAAGCTGAAAAAAGTACTAAGGTGTACCTCATGAGAAAATTAAATGTTCCTTTCATTATGATGTATTATTGTTTGTTTCATTTGGTTTGTCTTCTGTCTAATTTTGCCTGTTTTAATGTTCAAATTTATCAAATTAACATGTCAGAAGATCTAGTGTGTGTTTTTATGCATCACATCTTGTTTTCAGCACCACATGAAACAAATTTTTAGTTTGTCTTTGCTTTGCTAAGTGTCCTCTTCTGATTCCTCTTTATAAGTTGGCATGCAGGAACCCATCTCTCTGAAAATGTATGTTTGAAATCTCCATATTATGTGACAGTTCTTTGTTGCAAGACTCTAGAGCTTTTATTGTTGAAGAAGTATTTTATTCCTCTGTTACTGTTTGATGAAATGTGTTTTCTGGGTTTGTGTTCTATCTCTTCCTATGCTTTCTTATTGATTCTTCTCAACAGTGGAAAGAAAATTGTTCCCCCAGATAAAAATTGACCTGTACGAAAAGCCATGTACATAATATGTATAAAATGTAATCAGAAGAGCATGAAATGTTGGATACATATTGTTTGGGTAAGGACTATGTTATTTAGCGTTAAATCCCTTTATTTTAAGTGTGAGACCTTTTAATAATAAACATAGATGCGTTCAGTGGATGGTTTTTGATTGAATCCTGGTGTTACTGAAGTTAAGTGTGTCACAGCAAAGTTTGTGATCAAGCAGATTAGAAGTTCAGGAGGTTGAAGCTTGTGGTTGGTCAAGTATGGATAGGAAGTTATTAGGAGTGTTCAAAGGACAGTGGTGAGGTAGCAACTCAGCTTTTGATAGGCGGTACACTCAAGAGCCCTTTCGTAACACAAAGGTACACAACATTCTTACTAATACTGGAAATCACTCACAAAGACACTTGAGGTCATGGGAAGCCAGTCACTACACCTTCTCAGCTCTTCTATGAGCATTTTGCTAGTTTGCTGCCGGGCACACAAGACAGGCAGCGCAGTGTGTTTCGAAGACGGAACTTCGGATGAAAATTGAGTTAAAGCAAGAGCCTTGCAAGTGTGTGTGACTCGGGGAAGTTTTATTTTAAAAGGGGGAGGGGTATGAACGGCATCCACGAGGAAGGGGGTCGGCACGGCGCTCGGCACGAAGACCCCCTCAAAGTGGAACTCACAAAGGCCGTGTCCTGTCTCTCTCCCACGCGTGCCGAAACGTTGGTGGGAGCGACGGAGACGGCGAGTGGTGGCCTGGGCTGTGTCTAGCTGTGTCCGGGCGGGCTGCGGGCCGAATGCCGCCTACGGGGCGGGACCGGGCGGGACGCGACGCGGGCAGGGTCTGCAGGGCAGACGCGAGACGGGACGGTTGGTTGCGCCCGTTACCAACCGAACAGGCGGCGGGGGAAATTGTGAGGGGGGAGGGGGCTAGCGCAGAACTTCATTCAGCTGGGCCCCAAGTAGAGCGCTTCGCTGCTCCGCCAGTAGACAACGCCGCGGCCGTGCTTCGCTCAATGAGGATTGACCCCGACAGGCCGACGGCACAGTGTAGTGTACAGCCCGGCCGGCCAGGACGGGCCTCGCTGGAGGAGTCTCGACTCGATCCGGCATCGCCGGTAATCGGCGAAAGGCAGTCCGAAAAAGAGGCGTGGCACGGCGTGGCAAGCGCGGCACGGGGCTAATGATTAATGATATGGATACGCGGGGCGACGCGGGACGCGCGGTGGAACGCCTGGGATCGGAACGGCACGGCCGATCCCCTTGCGCAACGCCCGCAACACCGCGGCGCGGGGCCTGAGCTGCGCTGTGCTGCCCGGCTGCCTCGCTGCCTGGTGACGGTCAGGGTCGCCCACTGACTTACTCACTGACTGGCTTGGCTCAGCTTGGCTATAGTCGCGGCGGCGTAGGCTCTGCCGGGCCGCCTCTGCCGGGCCGCCTAAGGCAGCCTTAGGCCTCGGTGCGAGCGACGCCTCGGCCCGGTTCCGGAAAGCGAGTCTCGGTGTCCCCCAGCCGGCTGATTCCCAGTGTGAGGTCTCTCCCTCGCACTCTTGGGGCGTCCCGTGCGGGTGCGAGAGAGACAGACCGACGAGAGTCACCGTTCGGAAGCAGCCTGCACTGCAGTGCCCCTCGCGAGCGTTAGCGCAGTGTACGTGCGCCGAAGCGGCCGGATTTTGGAGCCCCTCTGCCCGTTCCCGTGCCAAAGGCTTTCGTCGCTCTGACTCTCTCGCACTTATGGGGCGTCGCGTAGGGGTGCGAGAGAGAGAGAGCAGCGAAACGATCGCCCGCTGGCGCGCGAAAACGCCCATTTTTGCGACGCGGACTCTGTTTTTAGCGCCGAAACGCGGGGCGTCGCCGTGCTGTGCGGACTCGACGCGACGCGACGAGACTTCCCTGCTGCAGCCTGCAGACTGATTCCAAGAGTGGTTCTCGCCGCTCTCTCTCTCTCTCTCTCTCGCACCCCTGCGGAACGGCCTGCGAGTGCGAGAGAGACAGAGCGACGAGACCCACTCTCGGAATCAGCCGGCCTGCCGTGCCGCCTGGATTGGGGGGCTTGGCACGGAGCGCGGACGTGCGTGCCTGCGCGTCAACACGAGGCTCTGCGCACGCGCGCACGCACACGGCTGCCCTCTCCCGCCCCGCCCCACCACACCCCGCCCCGCCCCACCTCTCCCCGCCTCGCCCCGCCCCGCCCACCGCGACATTGTTTGTCACCGAAGCCGCGCCGCGCCACGCGCCCCAGGACGACGTGATCCCCGTCAAGTACGACGGGGTCCATATTATGCGAGATGCGGCGGCACTGCCACGGCACTGCGTGAAACGAAATGTTGAGCCTCTGTAAACGAAGCATGGCGTAATCGACGAAGTTTGAGCGTGCTTTACACCGCGTTGCGCAATGGGCAAGCTGAATATCCCTCGACGTCGAGGTTTCGGACAGGAAAAGATAAGTCCGCCGACGTTCGAACTTTTGTTGTGAACTGCAGCGGTTGACTGGCCGCGGTGTGGATGCTCGGAGTGGAGTCGAGTGCAGTTGCAACTTCCCCCTCTCCTTGGCGTTTTTCTAGCGGACTGGGAGGAGGAGGGGGGGGCAGCTCGGAGCCCAGTCCCTAGAGCAGCTGGCCGGCCGTCTAGTTCTAGGAGAAAGTGAAGACGAGACGAGGAAATTCAAGTTCGCAACGACGCGAGTCGACGCGTGCTTGAGGAAATGTGCTGCTACAGTGGGCCGATCGACGCCGAGTGTCAAAACTATGGCGCAGAACACGCGAAAAATAAAAACACGAGCTGAGGGAAGTTTCTTCCTTTTTTTGGCAGAGTCGCGCGTGTTGGAGTTCGGCCTGCGGCCTGCGGCCCGGCGTTTGAATAACTCGAGTGTCTAGCTCCGCGAAGCTCGCAAAGCGAGTCGGTGCGGACCGTGGCATTACAGTGTACCTACGGCGCGGCCGTAATTTGGCGACCGATAGAGGCTCACTCGATAAAGCCTTGCGTCACTACGTGTCGTGGCCCAGTGGGCCGCCAGGCCGCCAGTGGGCTGGTGCCTCCGACGAGGCTAGGCCCACCTGCCTGCCCGGGCATGACTTCGGTTTCACTATCGCAATAAAGTGAAAATGAAGCCGGCCAGACTGATTCGTTTTCGTCGCTCTGCCTCTCTCGCACCTGTACAGTGTGCGCCACGAGTGCGAGAGAGGCAGAGCTGAGCGCGGTGCGCTGGCGGACTGAGATCGGAACGGACGCGATGCCGCACTGACCCCTTGTTTGTTGTTGTTGCTGCTGACCCTGCGCGAATAAAAGGCTAATCCAGGCGCGTGCCGCTGGCGCCGATGCGCCCAAACAACAACAAGAGGTGGTGTTGCCACGCCCCTCTCCGCCCCGGCCACGCCACTGTGGCCGCTCTATTTCGAGATGCACCGGGCCGCTGGCTCCGAATGAGCGCTCCGTCGCTCTGTCTCTCTCGCTCTCGCGGGGCGCCCCGGAAGGGTGCGAGAGGGACGGAATGAGTCCGCCGGGGTGGGCAGAGCGGCACAGTGCGGGGTCGGCCCAAGTTAGGACGGGCCTACTGACAGTGGCCGACAGTCGAGACAGCCGTCCGTCCGATGCTGGCCTCTGCTCGCTTGATACTGGCCTGATGGGGCAGTTTGGCGCGGGCTTTGCTGCCATTTCTAGTTGATGGCAGTGCGGTATTAGCGCGAATCGCCTTTGGAGTATTAACGGAGTGATGATAGGCTGGCCGGGAGCACGGCATGATGGACTCCAGGCTGAAGCGCCAGCGCCGCCCGGCGCCGCCCCCCGGGGCTCCGACGTCAGCGACGCCCACCGGGCCTCCGGGCCCCACCGCTTCGAACGTGCGCGCGAAGCACCTCGGCCGCGCCCCCCCCCCCCCCGGCCCGCCCCCGCCCCCCAAACCCCCACCCCCGCCGTCTCGCCCACTCGGTTCCAGTCTGGCCCACGACCCCGCGCACCCCGCGCCCACGCCCCCGCCGCCAAACACTACTAATCGGATGAACGCGACGAGACGAGTGGTTTCCGATGCCGCGGCGCCACTCGTGTCGAGAACCGTTTGTGGTTCGGGGTTCGACCGTCGCCGCCGCACCCCCTCGGTCTCTCTCACGGGGCTGTTCGGGCAGTGCTAGCAGCGTGCTCGCGGCCGAATCGATCGTAAATATTGCGTCGCAACATGTCAGAAACATCCGTACGCCCGGCGGGCCGGCGGCGGGGCGAGGGCGAAGCAGGCCGAAGACGCGAAGACGGGGTGGCGCCGTCTTGGCCCGAATGGGCGGCCCGAACGGACGCCCGAACACGAACGGGGGTAGTCTCGGCCCTCGGGCAGGGCCACTGGGCGAGAGCGAGAGAGACGGACAGAGTGCGACTGCGATGCAAGCGCGTGACGCCACCGAGCCTCGCGCTGTTTCAGAGGCATGTGTGATAAGGGCACGTCCCTAAAGGCCTTCCCCCGTCGGCCTCGCGTTCGTGTAGAGCGGCTTCAAGCCTGGGAAACCTGGAAAGGACCTGCGAAACCGAATGTGGTCGATGAAATTCGTGGAAAACGCCGCCCGTGTGTCGGCCATCTCTGTCGCACGCTCTGAGCTCGCCGTTCGGGAGTGACGAAGACGGCGCGGGGCACGGTGCAGGCGCTCTAGGCCCCGGGGATCTTCGAGTGGCTGCACTAGTGCTGCGCAGGATGGCGACGCGGCACAGTGGGCCGGAAGACCGGTGGAGGCGGCCAAAACTCTGGTCGCGTTTTGAGCTCCAGAGTCGCTAAATGGGACTCAAACCGAACGTGTGACCGCACCAATGGATTGCTCTCCGAACGAGGAGTCCATTGGTGGGGTCACACGTTCGGTTCGAGCCCTGTTTAGCGACTCTGGAGCTCAAAACGCGTCTTGAGTTTTGGCCGCCTCCACCGGTCTTCTGGCCCACTGTGCGCGGAGCCGCTCCGACGAGTCACTTCGTCGCTCTGTCTCTCTCGCGCCCGCACAGTGCCCTGCGGCACGCCGGGCACGCCGCGTGAGTGCGAGAGAGACCGGCGGCCCTTCGGCGTGTATGGCGCGCTCCTCGACAGCGCTACGCCGTGCTACGGCCATGCTACGCCGCACAAGGCCGTCGCGGCCTCGCTACACTGTCGGAAACGAACCGGCGGTACGGCGGAGCGCGGCAAGGCGGCCACAA